TATCAAATTCATATTGATTAAAGACTTTGGTATAAAACAAAAATTGTAGATGTTTAGTGGAAAACACAGGTTAATATCCTTTAGATCTTCCTGAAGGGAAACATTTTCTTAAATTGGACATAAATGTATTAACCAGAAAAGTAAAGTTTTAAAACTATAATGTCTATTCCCCAAAAGAGCCCTTGAAGTCAAAAGACAAGTTACAAGCTTGAAGAACATATTTACAATTTGTATAACAAATTATTAGTATCAAAAATAAAGAATTCTAACAAATCAAGAAGAGTGCGCATACACATGCAGATAATGGCAAATAAACATATGAAGAGGAGGTCAGCATTATTAGTGTTCAGCAGACTACAGAGGCCATAATGAGTTACCTTTTTATACCTATCCAGTTGGCAAGCATTAAAAATTCTGACACTACCAAATGTTGAAGAAGATGTGAGTCTACAAACTCTCTTATATACTGCACATGTAAGTAGATATTAGTGCAACACTTGGAAAAAACAGTTTGATATGACATCCTATAATTGGTCAATTACATATTTTATGTTCCATAATTTTACTTCCAGGTATATACCTTAAAAACCTCAAGCACATACACAACAGAAGACACACAAGAATGCATATCTGTCCCTGTTCACAGAATCGAATTTTATATGGCAGTCAACTCCAGCACTATGGATGTCTTAGTAATAATAGTATTAAGTGAAAAAGTAAGTACCAGAGAATTGCATGCATGATACCATAACACGAATCATGCATGATACCATTTTTGTAAATTTTAAAAGAATTAAAAATAAATGTTTCTATAAAAACATGTAAATATTAAAATGATTAAAAAGGAAAACAGGCCGGGTGCGGTGGCTCACGCCTGTAATCCCAGCACTTTGGGAGGTCGAGGTGGGCAGATCAAGAGGTCAGGAGATGGAGACCATCCTGGCTACCACAGTGAAACCCTGTCTCTACTAAAAATGCAAAAAAAATTAGCTGGGTGTGGTGGCGGGCACCTGTAGTCCCAGCTACTCAGGAGGCTGAGGCAGGAGAATGGCATGAACCCAGGAGGTAGAGTTTGCAGTGAGCCAAGATCATGCCACTGCACTCTAGCCTGGGCAACAGAGCAAGACTCCATCTCCAAAAACAAAAACAAAAAAGAAAAGAAAACAAAGAACTGATCAACTCAAGATTCAGGGTGGTTGTTATCTCTGGAGGGAAAGGAGAGGCGAAGGGATGAACAAAGGAGGAGGCTATCAGGTTAGTTTTCAGAAACAACTTCTGTTTTTGGTAGTGGTTTCACTGGTGCTTAGTAAATATGTAAAAACAGGCTAGGCATGAACAAGATCGGAGAGTGCCACAAACCAAGTATTAGCATCAATTCAATTCTGTGCACATAAAATCCTTTTTAAATGAAGCCTCTTTGAGAACAAACCCAGATAAAATATCAAACCTCCACTTGCCAGCTCTGATTGAGACTATTTGTAAAAGGATCTTCGTTTGTTTAACATTACTTCCAAAAGAGAAATTGCAACCATCTAAAAGATTCATCAATAGAGGAATAGCTTCAAACATCTGTATACATTTATACTCTTTCATTAATTCATCTCATCAACACATTGACTGAGTATCCACAATTTGTCAGACACTGTGGAATACAATCATGAACAAAACTGATCCAGGCCCTGCCCTCATGTGGCTTAACCATCCTTAAAAAAGTGAAGACAGGCCAGGTGCAGTGGCTCACTCCTGTAATTCCAGGATTTTGGGAGGCCAAGGTAGGTGGATCACCTGAGGTCAGGAGTTTGACACCAGCCTAGCCATCATGGTGAAACCTTGTCTCTACTAAAAATACAAAAATTACCCAGGTGCGGTAGCGGGCTCCTGTAATCCCCGCTACTTAGGAGGGCTGAAGCAGGAGAATCACTTGAACCCAGAAAACAGAGGTTGCAGTGAGCCAAGATCATGCCACTGCATTCCAACCCAGGCGACAAAAGCAAGACACTGTCTCAAAATAAAAAAAAATATAAAATAAAAAAGGGAAGACAGGTAGTAATCAAAGAGTCACATACACAAATGTACGCTGAAAACAGACGGTACTGTAAAGGAAGGAACACGGGGCTATAGAAGAGAAAAATGGAGAGAGACTTATCTTGAAGCCTTCAGCCAAGACTTCCTGAGAAAAGGGGCATTTAATAGAGGCCTGAAGCAACAGAGATCTGGGAGTAGTTAACCAAGCAAAAAGCAGACAAGGAGGAAGTATTGTCCAAGCGCAAGGATGAGAGGGTGGATCCTGTGGCAGATGAGAGGTCAAGCTATTACAGAGGTAAAAGGTCAAGGTGGCTGAAACCAGGACAAGGGAGACATGGGGGTCAGACAGGGCTGGAAAAGCAGGCAAAAGAGATATCCTGGAGCACAATGAGGCCAAGGATTTCAATCTCTGTTCAAAGAGCAATGTGAAAAAGAAGTTTACACAGACAAGCAACTACATCAGAATCTCACTGGGAAGGGATCCCCTGCTGCCATGTGGGGAATGGAGGGTCTGGGCATGGATGAGACAAAGGCTGATGCTCACTTTGACATGAGAACCCTGGCTCTAGTATGCAGCAGGGTCAAGAATTGTTGGAGGAACAGCAGGAGGCCATCTCAGCAGCACAGGCAAGGGGCAAAGGCCACTGGCCTGAAAGTGTTGGCAGTGGGCCTGCAGAGGGTGAGGATTTGAGAATTCTCTAGGTGGTAAAATGGAGAGCATTGGAGGTGGAAAACATACAAAGAGGGCGGGAGAAGGAGGCACCTAGGATGACTTTAGACGTCTGGCTTCTAGAAATGGATGGAACACCGGAAGACGAGCTGTGTCGGGCTGGGAGCACAATGAGGTCAGCTTGGAGATGACTGAGCTTAGGGTGTCCTGGGACACCTAAATGGAGATGCCATGTAGGTTGTCAAGTAAGTAGGTCTGGAGGGGAGTCTGACCTGGAGATAAAAATTTGGGGACACCACGTAACTGTTAAAACGAATGAGGTGACTCCATACGAACTGACTTGGTACGATGTCTGTGATCTACTGCCAAATACACACTGAAAAAAGGCAAGTTACAGAACAACAGGGATCATATCACTTTTTAAAAACATGTAGAAGAATACTTAATCATCTGGCCTGCAAGAGAAATACACACACTCTGACCTACACACAGACACACAGACACACACACACACACACTCACACAATGAAAGAATATACTAAAATATTAACCTATCCCTAGGATTTGATAAAGTTTAGGTGGGAATAGATAAGTGAATGAATTTCACTTTTACAAATTTAGACTATGTTTGCACTCTTGTTTCTTACAATGAGTACTTAATAACCCCAATGCCCACTTCGTTCCATCCCTTTTTTCACCCTCCAACTCCTACCTTATCCTGAATCCCCACCCAGTGTCAGAAGCTGGCAAGAGAATAGGATGGAAAGTGGAAAGATGATGTCAGTTTTTGCACATTATTTTATAACAAAACAAGAACAACTTGGTGTTTGCTTTGAAGATGCATCAAAATAGCTGTGTCAAAACATTCCCTGGTAAAATGTCATTCCTGCTCCTGAAGGGTTTGTAATCAAGTTGGCTGAGCAGTAAGTCAATTAAGATGATTGTCAGAGCATGAAGTCTACAGGCACACTGTCCACTGCACTCTCCCTAGAGGCCCTCGATGTGCTCTGAGGATTTCCAAGTCTCATGTAACATCCAAGAACACACCACGTTAATCAAGAAATGTCAAAAACTTCCCATTGTGGAGAATAAGGTAGCAGGAACTTGAACTAACGAATGTACGTGAACAAAAGGAAATTAATATAAACAGGAAGAATTGATGGCTTTTGTGGTTTATCCTGGGTTTTCTTCAGTTACTTAACATAATCACCCTGCACAGTGCCAGCCCACACTCAGTATATACTTGTGGAATTGTTTTTAAAATATCCAAGCCTCTATTGGACCAAGAATATTGTTTTTCCAGAACAAAAATGGGGTAATGCTGAAACGGAAGCACTCTAATGGCAGAAAGCCAAGGGACATACTGTGTAGCTCCTTGTGAACTTTCTTCTTCCATTCCCTGATTACATAAAGCAGAGACTGATAGAACCAAATGAGATCTTGAAGCTGCCTTGTTCAACAGCTGGGCAAAGCATTGTTTAACCATCCTTAACTAAGAAGTGTATGCTGAAAATGTGGAACCAGCTCAAATGCCCATCAATCAATGAGTGGATAAAGAAACAAGGACACACAATGGAATACTACTTAGCCATGAAAAGGGACGAATTAGGCTGGGCAAAGTATCTCATGCCTGTAATCCCAGCATTTTGGGAGGTGGAGGCAGGTGGATCACCTGAGGTCAGAAGTTCAAGACCAGCCTAGCCAACATGATGAAACCCCATCTCTACTAAAAACACAAAAATTAGCTGGGTGTGGTGGCGCATGCCTGTAATCCCAGCTACTTGGGAGGCTGAGGCAGGAGAATCACTGGAGCCCAGGAGGCAGAGGTTGCAGTGAGCCGAGATCACACCATTACACCCCAGACTGGGAAACAGAGTGAGACTCTGTCTCAAAAAATAATAATAATAATAATAAATTAATTAACGGCATTCACAGCAACCTGGATGGGACTGGATAATATTATTCTAAGAGAAGTAACTCAGGAATGGAAAACCAAATATTATAAGTTCTCACTTATAAATGGGAGCTAAGCTACGAGGATGCAAAGGTATATGAATGATACAATGAACTTTGGGGACTCAGGGGGAAGGGTGAGAAGGGGATGAGGAATGAAAGACCACAAATCGGGTGTACACTGCTTGAGTGATGAGTGCACCGAAACCTCACAAACCACCACTAAAGCAGTTACTCATGTAACCAAATACCACCTGTTCCCCAAAAACCTATGGAAATAAAAAAAGGAGAGAGAGAAGTGCATGTTGTACAGATATACACCTAATAACTGAACCATGAGTATATATCATACCGGGAAGGCAAACACAGGTGAAATTGTTCCCATCTTGCTTTTCATTTGCATCAATACAGCTCGCGTTGTTCTGGCAAGGTTTCCTCTGGCAAGCATCGTATTCTTCACAGAAAGTACCCACGTACTGCTCCTCACAGGTACAGGAAAAAGTTGCCTAAAACACAAAAAAACACAGTGTCTGTTACCTGGTGCCTCTCAACAGTGTGCTTTGGCTGTGAGACTCAAAGTTCAAAAGAACCACTTCCTTTTTATAATCCGCAATCTAATCAAATCACGTATGTCATAATCTAGTTGAAATCCTAGCTTTAAGGAAAATAGTCTTACAGTCTAATCTCAAACACATTTTTCTATTATTTGTTCATATTTATCCCCGTCATTTTCAATCTTCCTAAAATAGAAATGAAATGAACTTGTTTTATGCTAAAATTGAAGTTTTGCTGACCAGACATGGAAATGACAATTTTGCTAGAGCAGATAGATTGTGCTACAGCCATTAAATTAGATGTCACTCCAACCAACTAAAATTCTTCAACAGAGATAGCACTTGTAACAAAAATGTCATCAAATGTCCAACCCAGAGCATCCTTTCAGAGCACTGAGAAAACGCACCAAATCACTCCTTCAACCGGCCTCAATGTACAGCCATGCAGATTATCTGAGTACAAGGGAAAATAAAAGGAGTATAATTCAAGTAACCATTTTTACAGCTTATGATATTAACATTATCTTAGTAAAAGACCGTAACCCAGACACAGAGAATGGAATTTGACTCAAAGCTTCATTTCTGAGATAGTTGTAAAATACAAAAAAATCTGGGTTTCTTTCCCCTTCTTAATGCCAGCCTGGGGGTAGTGGCATGTCTGAAATAAACCACAAATCTGTCCCCAAAGCCTACGCAAAGTAATATAGATCATTACAGAAGATTTTTATGAGGAAGAGAGGAGGAGAGGCAAAGGACAATGACATTAGCAGATCTTACTACTTAAGAAAATCTAAAAACAGACAAAAGTCCCTTGCCCAGCTCATCTCCAAGCCTGGCACATGGGGCAGGTGTCCAGTCTCTACCATTCCCCAGCCATTGGCCCCTCACCCTCCCTGCCTCTCCCTGGCCTCAGCCTCCTGCTGCCGATCTTAGAAAGAGACTCTCTCCTCTTCTCTTCTCCAAGCACTGTCAACTCAGGATCTCCACACAGTACCCCCATAAGCACAACCCACTGCCTGCCTTCCCCTCAAAGAGAAAAGGATTATCCATTCTTCTCTTTAATATGTTTTTGTCTCTCAATCAAGTTTCATAGCTCCTGCACATTTCTTGATGAATTGACTCCTGAATATTTATGTTTTGGTAGCTATTGATAATGAGATATCTTATTCATCCTATTCTTGTTAATACCCATGATACTTGCTAGTAATTATTACTCAGGAATAGAATACTAGGGTTTTGTTTCCAGTTATCACACTGAGCTTTCAGTACAGATCAGAGTTTTTAGTTGATTTCCAGGTTTTCTATATGACACAAGACCAAATAATAACAATAAGTTCAGAGCAATTGCAAATAGTAATAATGTCATTTTTTCTTCTCCAGTTCTCAAGGTTACGTTGGCAGCTCTTCCAGAATAATTTTGACCTTAAATGGATGTTGGTAGAATTTACCACTAACTAGATTGTTGGAATGACTGTGAAATTTTATCAAATGCCATTTTAGCTCCTATAGAAATGATCTATTGTTTTCATCTGTGACCTATTATGACATGAATTCAGTATCTAGATTTCCTAGTACTGATTCAACCTTATGCTACTGGAAGGAACACCCACTGAAGTCATTATGCAAAATGGTTTTAATATGGCTGGCTTCTATTAGTAGTTACACTTCTACTGCCTTCCATTTCACTCTCCCTTCACCCTCTTTCCCCAACAGACTTCTTTTCTAAGAAAAAGCTGTCCCTTGCACATGAGATCATGTTTTACACTGCATAGGAGGATGTCCCTCACAACAAGTGACTGACAAAGAAGTGTGAAGACCCCTCAGAAACCAACCAAGACACCAGACAATAGGATATGACATTTAGCTCAACCAAACTGCCAAATGTTATATAGGTGCCTTTCTTCTGTTTACAGAATATGGTTTTTTGGTAAGGGAATATGACAGGTTATTGTAATCCACATAATCAAATCTCCTTTAGTTTAATAATACATTCTTCAATGATATCTTAGAAGCTAAAGCAATTAGAATTTTTTTTAAAAAAATAGCCTTTCTTCTTAAGCTGGAGCTATATTTTCTGCCTTCTATTTCTATCATCTCTCACCTCTTTGTGGTAAATGGAAATTCCCTCTTCATTCTAGCAATAAAATGAGGATCTATCTGTTTTTTCATCATGTTTTGAGTTTTTCCCTTTTGTATTTGTAGCTGGAAGCTAAGACAAGTTGTCAGAAAGGTTTTTTTTTTGTTTTTTTTTAACAGGAAACTCCTTTTTTTAGAACTATCTTCTAAGGACAATCTTGTCCTTGCTCAGATGCATAAGAGAGTACATATTTGACATGTGCGTAAGTCCTGTTTGGAGCTCTCTGTGCATCGGAAGATTTGTGGCCACCTTTGAAATGTCAATGCAGTGCACGCCCAGTGCATACAGTCCCAAAGCAGGCCTCCAAATCATGACAAATTACTATATGTCATTGGTCTTGGCAGCTGTCCTCTAAAATTTACTTGGTTTGTATCCAGACATTCCATACTGCAGATAAATTTGCTTGATTATTTGAGGGATACATTTAGCATGTAATTCATCTAGTGCGTTCCACGGAAACTATGCTGCTTATTGAAAGAAATTATTAAAAGCCCCAAATCAAATATCCTCAAGGTAGCTTTTTTTTTTTTTTTTTTTTTTTTTTTTAGTCTCACTCTGTCACCCAGGTTGGAGTACAGTGGCATGATCTCAGCTCACTGCAACCTCTACCTCCTGGGTGCAAGCGATTCTCACGCTTCAGCCTCCCAAGTAGCTGGGATTACAAGCTCCTGCCACCATGGCCAGTTAATTTTTTATATTTTTAGTAGAGACAGGGTTTCACCATGTTGGCCAGGCTGGTCTCGAACTCCTGACCTTAGGGTTATCCTCTCGCCTCGGCCTCCCAAAGTGCTGAGATTACAGGCGTGAGCACCGCACCCAGCCTCTTCAAGTTAGCTTTGATTGAATTTAGAGATAAAACAGAAGTTATCCATTTTGTTTTGCTTTATTGCAAGCAGGAGCCTTGAAAGAAACCTGAAGAAACTGTTGAAACAATTGCTTTTGAGAAAGTAAAACACAAAATTGATTCTTAAATTTTGATTGATAGATGAGGAAAGAGGTTAACAAATGTTTAACATATTCATGACCATAAAATTTCAGTTAAATATTTGTATATTCTCGATCATAACATCCATAAAGTTAGATTTCTCTCTATTTTCTAAGAACAAAGAGCTTTCCTATAATATTAAAAAGTTTGTTTTGATAGTTTTAAGACTGTTGACTTGTAAGAGATCATGAATGTTTATTATAGGAAACTATGTTAGCACATCTTTTGTGAAGAACCATGTTTGACCACTGAAGTTTAACTCATTGCCTGTGATATCACTAATCACTAATCTAAGTCCAGTTAACTCCACCAGCATAAGGGACAAAATAAACTTACTTAAAATTAGCAGCTTAGCTAAATTACAGAAAGATACTTCCTTATAAAAGTATTATATAAGTACATGGAAATGTACTTTTCAAGTAAAATGAACAGTGACCCTCAGAGATTAATTTAAAAACCCAATAAAGAATCTCAATTTTCCTCAACAGCTTGAAGTCAAATATGCCATTTGTACATTGATGAAACGTTCCCAGTCGGTCAGTTGTGGGAAGATGCAGTGCCTGCTACTTGGGAAGCTGAGTGAAGACAACTGCATGACCCCAGGAATTCAAGGTTGTAGTGAGCTATGATCATGCCACTGCACTCCAGCCTGGGTAACAGAATGGGACATTGTCTCTAAAAAAAAAAAAAGAAAGAAAGAAAGCAAGAAAAGCCTGGGCACAGTGACTCACCCCTCTAATCCCAGCATTTTGGGAGGTCGAGGTGGGCGGATCACAAGGTCAAGAGATGGAGACCATCCTGGCCAACATGGTGAAACCCCGTCTCTACTAAAAATACAAAAAAATTAGCTGGGCGTGGTGGCACATGGCTATAGTCCCATCCACTCAGGAGGCCGAGGCAGGAGAATCGCTCGAACCTGAGAGGCAGAGGTTGCAGTGAGCCGAGATCGCACCACTGCACTCCAACCTGGCGACAGAATGAGACTGCGTCTCAATAAAAAAAGAAAAAAAATTAATAAGGAAACTTCTCAGTTAAAAAAAACCAATCACACATGCATTCACTTATTTATCCTTTCAACAAATGTGTATTAAGCACATACTATGTGCCAGGCACTGTCCTAAGAGCTGAGGGTCACAGAAGTAACAAGACCCTCTCCTGGGGTTTATATTCTAGTAGGGTTGACTGACAATGAACAAAATGAATGAGAAAATGGTATAGTAAATTATAGAAAATGGTATAGTAAATGGTATGGGGAAAACGGAGACAGGGAACAGAAGTGGAAGGGCTGTTATGAAGGATACAATTTAAAACAGGATGTACAGAGAAAGTGACAACAGGGCCAGGACTTGCTGGAGGTGCAGAGTGGCCACAGAGGCATCCGAGGAAAGATATTCCAGGTAAGGGGAACAGCCAGTGCAAAGACTTCAAAGTGGACCATGCCTCACATGCTCAAGAAAGATCTAGAAACTAGTGTGGCTACAGTATAGCAAATAACAGAGAGAATAGTGTAACATGAGAGGTCACTGGGTGCGCAGTAAAATCAGGTGGGATGGTGGTTTTCAACTAGGGACCATATTACTTCCCAGAAGACATTTGGCAATGTCTTGACATACTTTTTGGTTGTCACAGCTGGGGGCTTGCTACTGGCCTCTGGCGGATAGAGTTCAGGGGTGCTGCTAAACACCTTACAATGAACAGGGCAGGTCCCACAGCAAAAAACTATCCAGTCCCAAATGTCAGTGGTGCTGAGCTTGAGAAACCCTGATGTAGGCTTTATAGGCTACTGTAAGAACTCTGGCTCAGTATAAAATTTTGGAAAAGATAGTTCTT